TCTTCCATAGACTTGAGAGAATGGAAGAGCCACCCACCTTCCCTCCTCTTCCCCTTGTCCAAAAAGAGTTAGCGACTTCATTTCTAGGAACAGAACGACATGCTTCCAGTTCTGTCTTCTCTCTAATGACCGACTTTATTCAACTAGTATTTATTGAGTACTTTTCTACATGCCAGGCACCGATCTAGGTCCTTAAGAAACATCAGTGTATCAAAAAAAGGAAAAAGTGATCCCTGCCTTTTTTTTTTTTTTTGAGACAGAGTCTCGCTTTGTTGTCCAGGCTAGAGTGAGTGCCGTGGCGTCAGCCTAGCTCATAGCAACCTCAAACTCCTGGGCTCAAGCAATCCTCCTGCCCCAGCTTCCCAAGTAGCTGGGACTACAGGCATGCGCCACCATGCCTGGCTAATTTTTTCCTCTATATATTAGTTGGCCAATTAATTTCTTTCTAATTATAGTAGAGACGGGGTCTCACTCTTGCTCAGGCTGGTTTCGAACTCCTGACCTCGAGCGATCTGCCCGCCTCGGCCTCCCAGAGTGCTAGGATTACAGGCGTGAGCCACCGCACCCGGCCGATCCCTGCTTTCTTGAAGCTTCTAATCTAGTTGTTTTTTTCCTCAACAGTGTTGTATAGTGGAAAGTATGAGCTTTAGAATAAGACAAATCTGAGTTCTGAGCTCTCAAATCTACCCTGTACTTGGTGGTGGCAACGTTAGTAAACCACACACTCTTGTCCTCAGTATCCTCATTTGAAAATCCAAATTATCTGCCCTGCATAGTTATTGTACAAATTAATGATCTGGACCAGGCATGGGAGCTCACACCTGTAATCCTAGCACTCTGGGAAGCCAAGGCAGGAGGACTGCTTGATGTCAGGAGTTCAAGACCAGCCTGAGCAAGAGCAAGACCCCAGTCTCTACTAAAAATAGAAAAACTTAGCTGGGCGTGGTGGCAAGCACTTGTAGTCCCAGTTACTTGGGAGGCTGAGGCAGGAGAATAACTTGAGCCCAGGAGGTTGAGGTTGCTGTGAGCTGTACTGATGCCACAGTACTCTAGCCCAGGCCAACAGAGTAAGGCTCTATCTAAAAAAAAAAAAAAAAAAATTAATGATCTGTTACATACTTCATCAAGTTGATAATGTACTTTTTCCTCACATTTTAACTTTTCTGAAGTAAGGATCTATTTTATAACCAGTGGCATCTTGTAGTCACTCCCATCTAGGTGGCAGTCAGGACCAAGGGCCACTGCCTACTCATGCATGACCTCACTTCAACTGAATATCTGCACTGTTGACATACTGAGCCTAATTGCCATTGCAAATGTCTTCAAAAGATTACACTATAATTCAGTATTAAAACTGAAAGGCATGGAAACAGCAGTGGAGCATAACTTTTATAAGAGAAGCAAATATCCACCACTGGGAAAATGACCGTACCAACCATGGCCCTCAGAGGTCTTTTAGACAGTCCACATGGATGAAGCCGCATGATGTGCTGTTATTACTGAGCTTCACGGAAAAGAATGGCCTGCCACAGGCAGAGTAAGAAAACACCAGGATCAAAACTTACAGAAAGAGGGCTGAGTGCAGTGGCTCACACCTACAATCTCAGCACTTTGGAAGCCCAAGGTAGGGGATTGCATGAGGCTAGGAATTCAAGACCAGCTGGGGGAGACCCTGTTTCTACAACAAATTTCAAAATTAGCCAGGCATGGTGGCACATGCCTGCAGTCCCAGCTACTCAGGAGACTGAGGTGAAAGGATCACTTGAGCCCAGTAGTTCAAGGTTGCTGTGAGCTATGATCACACCACTGCACTCTAGCAGCCTGGGTGACAAAGTGAGAACCTGTCTCTTTCAAAAAAAAAAAACCTTGCAGAACAGATAGTAGACGCTAAGCATATAGTAAGTGCTTAAATATAGCAAGAGGAGATTCTTGGAGACAGTGGTGTGTGACCTCTTTTAAGAAATGCCATACTACCAACACTCTTGATGGCACAGAGAACTATACTATGTGGAAAACTACCAACATCAAGAACTCTAAGTCAAAAGAGATTTTGAAGCATCAGGCTCTTAAAGTGAAGAAATCTTCGGAATACTTTAATCAATCTATTTTGCTTTTATGTATGCATGAGAGCAACATGACAAAAATCAACATCTAAATAAATCTAAAAGCTCTTTCAATAGGTATATAATAAAAATTCTAAGTGACAAAAAGCACCCATGTCAGAATTTAATTGGCAGGGTTGTTTTCTCTTACTGATATATAGAATAATTATGTATCTTACCATCAACATCTTAGATTCAATAAAACATAGCAACATTTGTCATCACATGGCATAATGAACATTCAAGAAATGGCAGCAATTTTGTTAATGCTTGGTAAACATCAAACACATTTTTTAGTCCATGGCAAGCACTGGGGATAAAAGGTGAACAAAAACCCTGATCCTATGGAATTCACAACGTAATGGGAGAGATGACACCCACCTCCCAGCTCACCCCACAGGACCCCTGCATGGTAAGACTAACAGTAATGAAGAGTTAGGGGAAGTAAGAAGGAAAGATAAACCCCTACTCTTCCAGCTAGTTCAGCACTAAGGCTGGGCAGATAACACAGCATCCTAGAGTGCCAGCCTCCACTGCTGCCTACCCTCCCAGGAGGCCTGAGTTCCAATCTTGCTGCTCACCCCACAGCCCTACCCTCTCACCATCTACCAGCCTCGCTCCCAATGTCTCTGGGCCCTTCTCAGCTAAGGCTGCTATTCCAGATTACTCCAGAGCCCCCCAGGACTTCAAACTTGGAAGTGCCTGTCTTCATCACCTGCAGGCAGAGGTGGAAGAGGAGGCCCAGATCTGTCTTCAAAGGTAGAAGAGTACCTGGGATCCCAGGCTCAACTATAAATACAATTTCACTTTAACATGTGAACATAGTGGTTAAGTTCCATAGGACTATTGGTACATTATTATTAACCTCAGAAACATTAAGAATCAACAGAGGCTTCTGCACTGGCCTGGCATTCTATATGTCAGACACATCATTATTGATATGGAAAGAAATGTACCACATTCCAGACAGTGCACTTACAGATAAACTTTTTCTGGCACATTATGAACTAACTAACTAGCATAAACTGCTGGCTTCCTCCCTGAAATCCAACACTAGACACGCCACAGAAGGAAGTTACAGGGAGATTGATGGGCCTGCAAAATGAACATAAAAACTGTGACAACGAAAATGGAGGAGGCTGAGTCCCAGTTGAGCTGTGGATGGGCCCAGAAGCAGCCCAGACAGAAGGGGCTGGGCGCCACACAAGGGGAGGTGGAGGCAGGACTTTTCTGTTGTTCTCTTCCTGACATTACCTGGAGCTCTTGCTGCACATACCTGCATCCATCAACACCGCAATATGGAGACACAGCAGCCAGCCCAGCAGCGCGATCACGAAAAGCTGTGTGGGCTTAGATACCAAGTGCCAGGGACTGGCCAGCTGCTGGGCATTCTCTCCTACCGCAAACCTCCTCCTGCAGGACTAGGGCAAACAAGGAGTGGCTGGGCCCCGAGACTCCTTGGCTTGATGTACAAGCAATTACTTATTTTTTAAAATTTAATCTTCCACCTTTCTTTCATTGAGTATATACCAGCTATATGGTGACTTTTGCTGACCCATGCATAAACAGAGCATTCTTAAGGAATACTTATATAGAAATTAGTCTCCACTTAAAGGAGTGATGCTTGGGCTTGCTTTAAACGAGTTACCATAAACATGACAGCCACTGGACTAAGAATGTGGATTGGCACATACTTACATCAGAGCAGGCTTTGGAGTCAGACAGCCTAGCTTAAAATCTTGGATCTGCCACTTACAGCTTCTGGCAATTTGTTTAATCTCTCTGAGCTCCAGTTTCTTCATCTATAAGGATAAAGAACCTAAAAATATTAGGTATTTAATAAATAACAGCTGTAACTAATGTACTTAACACAAAACACCTTTATGTCAAGCAACAGAAAGGGCACCCTTCTAAACTCATATTTAACATTAGATTCCACTTGGTAACAGAAAAAAAGCTATTTTAGTCTATACATAGAGAAAACACACCTTCATTAAGGTCCTGAGTTATAAAAAGGGGAAAAGAAAGATTATGAGAAATCTAATTCTACAGCACAGAATAATAGACCTAATTTCAAAACTAGAAGAGAAATTTCAGGCACATGGTTCTCAAATATGTTCAGATGACAGGGCCCCTGACATCAGAGCACCATGAAATACTAATACATGTGTTTATAGCACAAAATAATAATAGCTAATATTTGTATAGTCCTTATTATGTACCAGGCATGTTCTAAGTACTTCACATGTATTGATTCACTTAATGCTCACAGTAACCTATGAAGTAGGTACATTATATCTCCACTTTATAGGTGATGGACTAAGAAAGAAAGAAAGAGGTCAAGGGACTTGCCCAAGGTCACAGAGCTAACGGCAGAGTTGCAATGCAACCCTGGGCATCTGGCTGCCAAGCCCACGTGCTTAGCTGCTGTTCTACACTGCTTCTTATCCCATAAACTAAGAACACTTGAACTGTGTTATGATCCAGTATAAATGACTCCATTAATGAGCTGTATAAAAATCACATCCAGCCGGGCGTAGTGGCTCACGCCTGTAATCCTAGCACTTTGGGAGGCCGAGGCGGGCAGATTGCTCAAGGTCAGGAGTTCGAAACCAGCCTGAGCGAGACCCCGTCTCTACCAAAAATAGAAATAAATTAATTGACCAACTAAAAATATATATATAAAAAATTAGCCGGGCATGGTGGCGCATGCCTGTAGTCCCAGCTACTCGGGAGGCTGAGGCAGTAGGATCGCTGAGCCCCGGAGATTGAGGTTGCTGTGAGCCAGGCTGACGCCACGGGACTCACTCTAGCCTGGGCAACAAAGTGAGACTCTGTCTCAAAAAAAAAAAAAAAAAAAATCACATCCAAAGTCACTATAATTAAGGAAAATTAAGTATTCCCAAATTATCTACCAGTTTTTTTGCTATTTGTTCATTTGTCACATCCTAGTGCTGCCTAAAATGATTGACAGCAATAGCAACAAAGGGTTAACAAAATTTTGTAGGATTAAAAATTTAAAATTAAACAAAATGTATCCTTTATTTTTATTCAAATGAAAGAATACCTTGGTCCAGCTCTAGAACACTAGTATTTTGGGAGGATAGTTTGAGGACAGATCACCTAGAGCAACTTCTGTTTTATAGATGACAAACCCAAGACCAGAGAGATTATATGAATCACTTCAAGTCACACAGCAAGTAAAATGCAATATCAGAATCAGAGCCTGAGACCTCTAGTACTCTTACCCTTACACCACACTCTAGCTGTGGGATTGATCATGGTAAAGGAATTAGGAGTTAGCAAGAGATTCCCACTCTTTCCACCATCTTGGAGCCTGTGGAGGTCTGCTGGGAACAAGACTTCTAAAAGGCAAATATGTCTGGAAGGCTGTGGTTGAAGGCCATTTTTGATGGCTATAAGCACGGTCCCCGGAACCAAAGAGAGCACACAGCTCTTCTTAAAATTGAAGGTATTTATGCCCAAGACGAAACTGAATTCTATTTGGGCAAGAGATGTGCTTATGTATACAAAGCAAAGAACAACACAGTGACTCCTGGTGGCAAACCAAACAAAACCAGAGTAATCTGGGGAAAGGTAACTCGGGCCCACAGAAACAGTGGCATGGTTCATGCCAAATTCCGAAGCAACCTTCCTGCTAAGGCCATTGGACACAGAATCCGTGTGATGCTGTACCCCTCAAGGATTTAAACTGATGAAAAGTAAATAAATAAAAGTAGATTTGTAAAAAAAAAAAAAAGAGAGAGAGAGATTCCCAATATCACATAAAGCTGTTTATCTTAGCTTTGTTTTTATTTCTTTACCCTTATTGTCCTTGACTTCTCAGTTACAGAAACAGTGTTCCTCTTCGTAGCCCAAGTCAGGGAAAAGTGCTTTACCAGCCATCCCAATAGTCTAGCAAAGAGGGCAGTGAGCTGGACAGAGAACTGACACAAGGCCTCTGACGGGTGATCACTCAGCAAAAGACAAGCCTTCCCTGTTAAGGAAATATTTTTCACTTTTTTAGGGCCTTTTCTCTTTCACTCTTCCTTTATTTTTTCTTTCTTTCTTTTGGTCTAAGATAAAAGCTCTAGATACAAATTAGCTTATTACAAAATACCAACTTTGAAAATTTTAGAGCTAATCCTATTAAATAATAAAACCTCAGAATAACAACTGTACATCAAAGAAAAGTTTGATGCAGAGTAATGAAGGAGAAAATCGGTGTCAAATTAGGCAGCTTCCGAGGTAAAAAGTGGCAAACATCAAGCAATGTATATTAACAGTGCTATGCAAATGTTCAAGTTCTGTGAACCAAAAATGGTGAATTAAGTTAAGCTACATGGCAATGAATGAAGACCTGTATAGCGGAACTGAGGAAGCCAACAGGTAAGGGGCACCAAGCTACAACCTTCCCAGCAGGGATGGGGACAAAACAAAAGACAACTTAGATATGGATTAAATTCTAAATATTGATTTTAAATTATTTGATGACATTTTGGATGTACATTTCCTTTAAAATTATGTTACACACTATTTTTTTTTTTTTTTGAGACAGAGTCTCACTCTGTTGCCCGGGGTAGAGCGCAATGGTGTCAGCCTAGCTCACAGCAACCTCAAACTCCTGGGCTCAAGCGATCCTTCTACCTCAGCCTCCCGAGTAGCTGGGACTACAGGCATGCGCCACCATGCCCGGCTAATTTTTTTCTATTTCTGGTAGAGACAGGGTCTCACTCTTACTCAGGCTGGTCTTGAACTCCCGAGCTCAAACGATCCGCCTGCCTTGGCCTCCCAGAGTGCTAGGATTACAGGCATGAGCCACCATGCCCGGCCATACACACTATGTTTTGAATCTCAGAATAATAATAATAAAAAAAGCATATTTACTGATAATTTAATTAAATAAATTAAATAAGCTGAAATAAAAATTTAAGTAACCATCTGTTACAATGTCAGACCAAACAAAGCTAGAAAACAACACTAAGTGTATTTTGACAAATCAGTTAACTCTATAAAATAAGTTCATCAGAGTACTTTTCAGCTCTATAATTAAGATAAAATTAAATGATTTTTTAAAAATCATGGTACTTATGGAAACACAAGTTTAGACAGTGTAAAATAAAACATAGATGAAGACTCTTGTCAAGATGAGACTTCTGGATACAGCACTTCTAAACATTTTGGAGCCTGGTGGGACAAGGACTCATTATATTTAATTTGACCTTGAACTATAACATCCCTCTGCCCTTGAGCCCCGTGCAAGGCTCAGGCGCCAGCTGGGTTCCAGTCCCGGCTCCACCTCACCAACAGCTGACCCGGTGTGAACCCCCTAACCTCCCTGTGACTCCACTCTAGCATCTGCAATACAAGGACAAGAATAGTAGCTGCTTCATAGAACTGCAAACAGGATTAAATGACACATTTGCAAAGTGCTTAGAACAGAGTCTAGAAAATGGTAAGCACTTATATGTGTCAACTGAAAGAAATAATGATCAGGGTCATTTCTGAGACACAAATTTAAAATGGTAGCACAAGAAGAAACTAACAAGGGGAGACACAGAAGGGCACATGAAGGGGAAAAGAAGAGAGAAAAGTAATGGAGAAATAGAAGGGAAAGAGACGGAGATTTCCAGAAGAGAACAATAAGATTAGGAGGAAATGTGAGGAGAGCACAAGAGGAATGAATGGAGAGGGAGTGGGAGAAAGTCTAAGAAAGAAAGAAGTAGACAAGCAGAATGGGCAGGGGAGTGAGGGGAAAGAAGGGAGAGAAAAAGAGAAGAACTAAAGAAAAGAGAAAAAAATGAATCAGACTGCTCTGAGCAAACTGGGTAAGATTTAGAAATGAAAGTAGAACAATCTGAAAGACTATTCCCGGCCGGGCGTGGTGGCTCACACCTGTAATCCCAGCACTCTGGGAGGCTAAGGCGGCAGATTGCTCGAGGTCAGGAGTTCAAAACCAGCCTGAGCAAGAGCGAGACCTGTCTCTACTATAAATAGAAAGAAATTAATTGGCCAACTAATATATATAGAAAAAACTAGCCGGGCGTGGTGGCACATGCCTATAGTCCCAGCTATTCGGGAGGTTGAGGCAGCAAGATTTGCTTGAGCCCAGGAGTTTGAGGCTGCTGTGAGCTAGGCTGACGCCACAGCACTCACTCTAGCCTGGGAAACAATGTGAGACTCTGTTTCAAAAAAATAAATAAAAAAAATAATAAACTACTATTCCCATGAGAAAGATTTCCTGAGGTGAAATCCACCCCACAGTTAGACCTAGGGCTGGGGCGGGGGGCACACCTGTGAGGCTTCCCTCATTCTCTGACCACCTGACGACACAAATGGGACCCAGATAAAGTATCCAAAATGCTGCTCTTAAAAGTGCCCAAAATATCCATTAGCAATGAACAGATCAACAAAATGCTGTATATACATATGCTAGAATATTATTTAGCCATAAAAAGGAAGGGAATTTTGGCACATGCTACCACATGGATGAACCTCAAGGACATAATGCTGAGTATAATAAGCCAGTCATAAAAGGAAAATATTGTATGACTCTACTTATACAGGGCACAGGAATAGGCAAATCCAGAGACAGAAAGACTAGAGGTTACCAGGGGATGTGGGAGGGACAATGAGGAGTTATTGTTTAATGAGGGCAGAGTTTCTGTTCGGGATGATGAAAGACTTCTGAAATGGATGGTACAACAATGGTACAACAATATGAATGTACTTCATGCCATTGAGTTGTACACTTAAAGATGGTTAAATGGTAAATTTTATTTTATGTATATTTTACTATAAAAAGAAAACAATTAAAAATTTAAAATGCTGGTGATGGCCCCAGTAGTAATTGCCAACCTACTCCCCCTGGTAGAAATGAGACTTCAGTGGTCCCTTTCCCATCATGACCATGAATAAACCCATGGCCAACCAGGGGCAGGTACTCCTCATGTTCCAGGTGAACCCTGCCTCCCACCAGCTCTTCCTCTGCCCAGCAAAATTGACATTGCTCTCTTCCTACAACCACTGTAATCTCTCCCAGCTCCAGGGCAAAGGAACTAGTCTCCAACACGCCCCCTTCTAGACACCCTGAAAGCCAATCAGCTTCTCTTACAGCAGGGTGGCTGCAACATCTAGCACCATCCAAGATACCTGGCACACAGTATGTGAACAATAAATAGCAGTGATTGCCATTCTTGCCAATGTTCTATTAAACCTCAGTCTCACTTGTCCCCCTTCCTAAGTTGCCATATTTAGTTGTGCTAGAGGCAGAGTCATGGGGAAAAGACATAGGGACAGGATATGAGGACAGCTGACACAGATACTGAGTACTTGCCATGCACCAGACACTGATCTAAACAGTTGACATTTCCCAATTCAGTTAATTAATGCTCACAACAACCCAATAAAGTTGTTTAAAACTTATGTCCAGGAAACATATAACAGTAAAGAATGGTAAATTAATGCTCCACTCTGAGCAGCTGCTGACAGCCACATGACTGAGAGGTGTCACATTAAATTTGAGAGCTATAAAATTAGACCAAGGAGAATAAAAACAAAGAGCTTCTATTATGTTCATTCATTTGGAATGAAAAGTAGAGATTTTACATTTAACTGGTTGCTGGAACAAATAGTTTTAGAACTCAAAAGAAAAGAAAAAATACCAGACTTAGTTCTAAATAGTGAACAGGAACTGGCAGAGGAAGCAGCAAGGAACAAAATACCAAAATAATACAAGTTTCAGCACAAATTCCCCATTCTTGCTGAGAAGGGGAAGCCCAAATAATCCATCACATGGTTCTCAGTTTGAAAAGGACTTACAACAAATCATTAGCACTGCTGAGAAAAAATGGACATGAGTAATTATAAAAACAGCAATCCCTTACCCTTGCCTAGCAAGGTTTTTTTCTGAGTGTCTTGACAAACACTGTTGCATTTGCTTTTTACCCCACTGTTTCATCTGCAGTCTCCCTCTCTGCATCTCACAGAGGAGGAAATGACTTGGGAGGGAGGGGGTGCAAGCTGCCCAATGTCATGGGCCAGCCGGGGGTCCCTACACCAGACAGAGCACGCTGCCCGTACTGTACCTCTCTGCCTCCAGCTAAGATGCTACTGGAAACCTAGAAGTCAGGGTGGAGTGATGTGATAAAAATAGTCTTTTAAGTTCTACTTAGAAGCTAAAAAAACCATAATTTTAGTTAGGAGAAACATGCTTGAAGAACTGAAGCCTTTAGCAGAAAACTTGGTTCCTTAAAAAATAAAAAAATAAAAATAAAAAAAATAAAAAAAAAAGAACTGAAGCCTTCTGAGAAAGTATAATAGATAAGCAGAGATACCAGGCTGCCATAAGTAATTTCTACAAAAATTTTTTAAAAGAATAAGCCAATAAGCCTTTGACTAGTTTCCAAATAATACTGTTTTGTTTCTTAGCTAAACCATTATGGATCTGGGACGTTTCTCTACAGACAGAAAAGTCCGAAGGTAAAGATGAAGGAGGAGGAAATCAAAACGATGGGAGCTGAGGCATTTCCACTGTGGCCACTCACATCTGACAGTCGTTACAAATTCAACAACAAAGCAAACAATAAATGCTCCAGATCACAGAGGAACTCCTCCAGACAATATCATTTTATCCCACTGGGGGAAAACTCCAAAAAGGCCTCCAGAAACTGAGCAAGCAGACACTTTTGATACTGTAATTCTGAGGTATCTATTACAATCTAAAAACTAGTGTGTAATGTGTCCCAAAGCAATTTTCCT